CCCCAAAACCCCAAAACCCCAAAACCCCTTCATTCTAAACAATTTGTGATTTTTTAAGTTAAAAAATACATAACATCTTAATTATTTAACTGCTTAATTAATTTAAAACTTGTGTAATATAAGAAATTATAAAATGGAAAATATTGAAGCTTAAAATAAAACCAAAAGGCAAAAGCTCGTAAATATAAAGCCAAAAAAATCTATAAGACATTTGATTGCTCACAGATTTAAATCACTAGATTAATTTGGTAGAAAGGTTTTATTGACTTTTGAAGGTGAAGAATCATACAAGACTTCATTTGGTGCATTAATATCTTTGTTCTTGATCATTACACTACTTTGTTACGCAGCTTTTAAAGGGATTAATCTTTACAACAAATATAATCCTAACATTTCAAGAGTTTCCTTGATTAGAGATATGAGCGATGGACTCCTAGTAAAGCCATAGAATACAGGTTTTGACTTTGCAATTGGTCTTCGAAAGGATCTTCATCCTTCTATTGGATTCATTACTATAAAGCAAGCAGGTTATTATATTACAGATTAACTTGATTAATATGGAAATCCAAAGAGACCGAAACTCACATACCCTTTAAAATTTCACAAATGCGGGACCGAATATTTCAATTATCCTAATCAATCTGAGGTGGTTGAAAAAGGAATATCTAACTATCTCTGTCTAGATAAAGATGATTACAAATTTCAAGGGAATTTCTATTAAAAGAATTTTTAATACCTAGAGATAAAACTGTGGAAATGTCAGAACTAATCTAGCATCGCGAATAGGACAGATGTTCCGAATTCAGATGGCACTTATGACTATAATTATAGTGGAGAGTGCCAAGATTAATAGGTGATTGATGATTATTTCAACTAAGAAGTATTTAGTTTGGCTTTCATTAATACATATTTTGACTTCTTTAATTTCAGAGAGTAAAATCCAATAAGAAAATTTATAGATGATTAATTTTTCCTTGAACTTGAATCCTCAAAAATCAAAAAAGCTAATATATACTTTCAAGTATAGAAAGGTAATCTGCAAGATGAATACATATAATTTGGTTAATATGAAGAAATTGAATTCCATTAGCTAAAAAATTTTCGTCAATATGATAAGGGCTATACAAATGATGAAGGGCATATAGTTGCATTATACATGAGACTTGATAATGAATATGATCTTTATAATAGAAAAATTTATTCAATCCTTGAGCTATTGGGAGATATTGGTGGATTATATAGAGCTCTCTCGGCTATAGGTATCTTTATTGTAGCCTAGATTGCTAGCACTTTGTTTTTTAGTGATGTAATGACTAAAATTTATCAGGTAAGAAAATCCTTTTACTCTGATGATGAAGAAGAAAATAAAGATGAAGGCATTAAGAAATCAAAGAAAATGAAAGTTGTCTCCATCAAGAGTACTACATTTTGAGACGATGAAAATTTAAAGGTATTTGATAATAATGGAGAACTTAGTAAGTAGAATAATAACACAGAGGAAGTCAATTACTCACCATCAACCAATTTATAAAATGTATTTTCTGGGGAAGATACTCTAAAATCTGATAAAGAATAGAAAAAAATACAAAAATGCCAAAGATTGATGCTGAGTAATCTCAAAATAGAAGAAAATAAAAGAAGTTAGAATCTAAAAGACAAAAATTCTGTGGACAGTGATGATATACAAGGATTGCTGAATTCTTTTATGACTAGAGTAAGATTTAGATATTCTCCATTCAAAATTTTTAAATATCTCTGTGGCTGTTTTCACTTCAAAAAAAGCTGGTTTAAATTACGAACTGCTGCATTCAAATAATATTAATTATTCCAAAAAGGTAAATAGAAACTTGAGCTAGAACTTGATGTTATTCATCTAGTTAAAACTCTTAGAAAGTTTAAGCTACTTGCTTAAGCATAACTCAATTAGCAGCATAGAATGTTACTAAGATTTCAAAGGCAAAATTTGATAGAGACAAGCTCAGAATCATCAGATTCAGATGATAATCATTTGGAGCCTTTAGGACTATTGGAGTCTTAAAACCCTATGATAAAATTGGTAACATTGGGTAAACTTAAGAAAATGATGAAGTCTTTTGAAGGAAAATCACTAAATAGTATAGAATCTAATCTTATAAGAGGAGTATTCAAGAGAAAACTGAAAGACTTCTAAGATGAGTTAAAGAAAATTACCCTTATTTAACGAGTGTTTTCAACTACTTGTGCTTAGTCCCTAGAATAGGACAGTAATTACAACTTAGAGAGAGATGAAGAAGACTATATCCCAGAATAAAGGAATATTTATGAATCAGATGAAAATTGAGTTCTCATTATTAAAAAGAAAAAACATCCTATTCCAGAGAAGAATCCTTGCAATTAAAAAATTCTCACCAAAAAGAATTCAGGCTGATAATAATCTGATATGATAAAATAAAAGTTCGCACCTTTATCTATGTAACTCTTGAACATATCAATTAATTTCTTAAAATTTTTGATCAGTCTAATTCGTACTCTCCGGGGTTTTGGGGTTTTGGGGTTTTGGGGTTTTGGGG